CTAAAGAATTGAGCACCAGCTTCTAGGGGGTGGGACCATATTCACACCCTGATGACTTTGCTTGAGAAACACCTGCTGGTTTGCTTCTAAACACTCAATTGCAGGCATCAAGAAACCACACAGGAAAAAAAGAAAAGAAAAACCATACAGGCTGAGCTTCTTATTGTGAACCTATGTCCCAAACTGTAAGCTGGGTGTATGTAATGGCAATCTGTCAGCTGGTCCAATGAGGTCCAGAAGGTATGAGCAAGTTTCTTGTGGGTTCTCAATACTGACACCTGTGGAATTGCCTCTTCAGTCTCCTCTAAAAGCAAGAATCCTGGCTCCATTTACTCTCAATATATGTATTCATTTGTTTGGTTCTCCTAAATGCAAATACTGAAATGACCATGGATATTTACTAGGTTCTGGGTGTATTCACACACAGCGGCCACACAAAGCAAATTTCCATTAGCTTTGTAGATCAAAAAGCTCTACTCATACTGAGAATGTAAAAGATTGCAGTACTTGTAGTTCAAGATCGGGGCAGTAACTGTGCCAACAGCTAATGAAAACATCCAAGAAACTGAAATGGAGTAGAATGACATACTATATACACTCAGGCGTTCTGAGCCAAATGACTTGAACGTTTTGCAAAAACATGGGTAAATACATACCCAACTGGCTTCTGTGAACATTCTGCTGACAGTGCAGATGCCTTCAGTTCTGGGCTGCTCTTGAGCAGCCTTGTGAGATGCTGTTATGTCTAATTTTCTTTTGGGGTCAAAATTGTGCTCCTTTATTACTATGCATTTCATCAGGAAGCCCTATCAGCATTAGTTAGCAGATGTCTCTGTTAGGGAGCCACAATCACAATTAAAGCTACTATGCATCCTACTTTGTGACAAGTTGGGGAATTAAACAAGGAAAAAGAGCATAACTCCATTACAAAAGATGACTTTTTCTTCAACTTATAACATGGTATATGGCTGAGCATGGTGGTCCATGCCTGTAGTTCCAGCTACTCAGGAGGCTGAGGCAGGAAGGGTTCCAAGTTTAAGGCCAGCCTCAGCATTTTAGGGATACCCTCAGCAACTCAGGAAGACCCTATTTCAAAGTAAAAAAAAAAAAGGGTTGGAGGTGTAGCTTAGTGGTAAAGCACCTTTGGGTTCAACTCCCAGTACCAAAAAATAAAATAAAAATATGATATAAATTATACATCTAGCTGTATACAACTACTAGTCTATCAATTCATTGACTTATACACATCAATTAGAACAGTAGCCCTAAGCAATGGCAGCTTTCTGTGTTCTAGAAAGGCATGCATTTTGGCTCTCTGTCCTGATTCCACATGACACATTTCTGTGCATCATTTTTTAAAAGCTAATAATTTGGGAAAGGTTTGTAACATTTTTACAGAAGTGTTATGGTTTTTGAAGGTGAAATACTACTAAATTTCTTTAAAGGTAGAGTGCTCGCCTAGCATGTGCAGGGCCCTGGGTTCGATCCTCAGCACTACATAAAAATAAATAAATAAAGGTATTGTGTCCAATTACAACTAAAAAATAAATATTAAAAAAGATTATATCACAAATCAAACATGTGTTAATTGATGTGTTGAAGGAAAGGAAAGGCCCTTTTTCTATTATGTCCAGCTTTTACAACTTAATGGGGCCATCTGGGCCTGGGGTTTTCTTTTTTGACAAGATTTTTAACAATAAATTCATTTTACTTAATAGAAATAGGACTATTCAGCAGGGCACGATGGTGCATGCCTATAATCCCAGCATCTCAGGAGGCTGATGCAGGAGGATCATGAATTCAAAGCCAGTCTCAGCAACTTAGCGAAGCTCTAAGCAACTTAGTGAAACCCTGCCTCTAATAACATATAAAAAGGGGTTGGGAATGTTGCTCAATAGTCAAACACCACAGGGTTCAATCCCTGGTATCAAAAAGATAAAATAAAATAAGAAATAGGACTATTATCTACTTCTTCTTTAGTGAATTTTGATTGTTTATGACCTTCAAAGACTTGGGTCATTTTGCCTAAGCTGTTGAATTTGTGTGTGTAGATTTATTTTTATGATTCCTTCATTATTCTTTTTAGTATCTTGGGATTCTGTGGGAATAATCCCCTTTTATTCCTCATGTTTATAATTTCTGTTTTCTCTGTTTTTAGTTTGGCTAGAGGTTTATCAATAAAAACATAAAAGTCGAGTCAGGAGACTTCTTTGTTCTTGTAGTATCAGCACTTGGGAGGCTGAGGCAGGAGGATCCATGAGTCAAGAAGACCAACCTGGACAGCATATCAAGATCCTATCTCAAAATATAAAAAATGACATAATGATCTCAAAAAACCAACTTTGGGTTTCATAGATTTTTTCCCCTATTTTCAATTACATTGATTCTTTTTCCTCTTTTTACTTGCTTTGAAATTTTTTTGTTTTGTTTTGTTTCGTTTTTGTTTTTGGTGGTACTGGAGATTTAACCTAGGGGCACTGTACCACTGAGTTACATTCCCAGTCCTTTTTTATTTGAGACAGGGTCTTGATAAAATTTCTGAGACTGGCCTTAAACTTGAGATCCTCCTGCTTCAGCCTCCCAAGTCACTAGGGATTATAGGTGTGCACCATCACACTCTTTTTCTATTTTCTCAAGGCAGAAGCTTTGGTTTTTGATTCAGGATCATTTTTGTTTTCCAAAAGAATTTTTATTACTATAAGCTTCCCTCTAAGTACTTATATAGCTGCATCTCACACATTTTAATGTTATAGTTTTGTTTTCATTCAGTTACAAAGTATTTCCTAATTTTCCTTGAAGCTTCCTCTTTGACTCATGGACTATTTTGAAAGTATTAATTTCCAAATATTTGGAGATTTTCCAGTTATCTTTGTGACATTGATTGCATTGTGATCAGAGACCATATTTTGCATGGCTTAAAGTTTTTAAATTTGTTAAGTATTGTTTTATAATCTGGGATGTTTCAAACTTGACACTTGCTTTTACTTTACTTGCAAGTTGTTAAGTTAGCCTATTACTATTTCATGATGCTGGCATTTGTATTCATATGTAATTTCGCATAAATATTATGAAGCTTATGTCAGTAACTGCAAGTAACACTAACCTGTCCATAGGTGAAGTGGGCATTTAGAGGGGATCCTAGAGAGGAAAGGACCGGGCTCTAGAGCCTGCTGTTTCTGGGCCATGATTCTGTGTGTAGACTGTGGAGTCAGGAGACCTCTTTGTTCCTTCACTCCCTGTGTGACTTTGGACAAGTTAATTAGCATTTGAATTCCTTGTCTGTCAAAGGAAGAATAAACTACTCCACAGGAATACTTCACGTAGGCCAGCCATGAGATTAAGGGAAATTCTTCAGACCCTTATTCATATTAAAGACATACCTTTTTGAAGATAAATATGAGGACAGAGGGCTGAGTGTGGCACTAGGAATACTGAAGGACCTGGGGACCACACAAATATTCATGAACTGTGAAAAGTTAAATTTATCTAGCTGATCAGTCATATGGAGTTGAGAATTCAAAACAAAGTTGAATTCTTTGAACAGTTGTTACTGGCAGGGGTCATTTATTTTGGGTTGAATAATAATGACCTTTAAAATCTATTGAGGTTTAGCTTCCTTTCTCCCTGCTGGCTTCTTCCCGGGTCATTGCCACAGTCCTTTAGAGTATTCTGTTTTGTATAGTTTATTTTTGCTTACACATGGCTGATTTTGTTTTTGTTTTTGCAGTACTGGGGATTGAACCCAGGGCCTTGCACACACATTCTTGACAAGTATTCTAACTGAACTACATCCTCAGGCCCCCCTCCTTTTTTCTTTTCTTTTCTTTTTTTTTTAAACTTTGAAGCGAGGTCTCACTAAATTACTGAGGCTAGCCTTGAATATGTGATCCTCCTGTCTCAGCCTCCTAAATTGCTGGGATTATAGGTGTATGCCACCATTTCCAATGGAATACTCCCCTCACCCCACTTTTTGTAGTACTGGGAATCGAGTCCAGGACCCTGCTCGTACATGCTAGGTAGGTATTCTACCACTGAGCTACACCCCCAGCATTTTTTTTTTTTTTTTTCATTTTCCTAAGACAGAATTTCACTAAGTTGCCCAGGCTGGCCTTGAATATGTGATCCTTCTGCCTCAGCCTCCCAAGTAGCTGGGATTAAAAAGGTGTATACCACCATGCATGTTTCTAGCTGATATTCTCTCTTGAAGGAAGGGATGTGGGGGCCAATGTAGCTCTATGTGTTTTAAGTAGAGGACAGAGCTGTGTGGAGAACTCAAGCCTCTACTTGAGTATCCTGACTGTAGGAGGTCACTGGGATCCTGGAGTACAAAGTGAATGGGAAACAGGGATGTAGAGAACAAAGGGAGAGAGTGCCTTCTATTGCTCTAACAAATTTCTCCAATAGCCAGCAGCTTAAAGCAATGCACATTTCCTATCTCACACAGTTTCTGAGGGTCAGGAATTCAGGAGAGCTTAGGGTCTCACAGGCTGTACTGCAGTATCTAGTCTTGGAACTGAAGGCTGTTTCTAAGACAGCTCGTGTGGCTCTTTGCAGAGGCCTGTTTCCTCACCGCTTGGGCCTTCCCACCAGCGGTTCGAGTGTTGCAGCTGCTTCCCCCAGAGTGAGACCCAAGAGAGAAAGAGCAACACAGAAAAGCCAGTGTTATTCATAGCCTGACCTAGAAGTGAGGTTGTACTCCATTGACCACATAGAACAATCTTGAGACCATGTTGGAGGCGACCACACAAAAGCATGAAAACCAGAGGTGGGAATCTCTGGGAACCATCTTGAAAGCTGGCAGTCACAGCGACTTTGCCTTTGGCCATCTGACTTTGCCTTCCAAGGCACAAGTCAGGCTTCTGGGGCCAGGCTTGGAGAGCCAGTGTGAGGTTGGTTTAGTGGAGATTTGGTTGGTGAACATTGGGAGCATGTTGAAGAACTTTAATCAGACCAATATATATTGTGCATTTCCCCCCAACATTGAACATTATAGTGGGACCATGGATCTGTTTGGAGATATAGATGACATTTCTTCAGAGAGTGATGAGGACAATCTACTACCCATTCCAAGACAGCCTGTTGTAAGTACCATCATGAATCTCAATTGATCTCATTATGTGAAGATAAGAAAAAGGTTCAGAGGCTGAGGGTCTGTTTCTCTGATGTTGAGAGAGGACAAGGATAACTGAACACCTGGTGAATGGGGGTATTCTTGGCTGTACTGGGAATGTGGGATATTAGAAGTCACAGCAGGAACTGCTCAGACAAAGCTGATACCAACTTCAGGGCGGGACCAGGAGGACTCATAACGTGGGCTATGTTGGTATTTTCTGATTTTAGCAGTAAGTATTGATGGGTTGAATAATTTCACACTTCTGTCGCTGGCTATCTTATGAAAAATAGAAACATCAATAAAATAGATATTTTTTTCTAGTAACCCAGGCTAACAGACCTCGTTCCCATGTTATTTTTGTTGGCTGGTTTTAAGTGGTGGAAGGTGAAGTTCTAGGAGAGGCTTGGAGAGATTGCTATTTTATCCCTAGAGCAGTGCCTGAATTTACCTCCTTTCAAACCTTCGTCTGCCTGGTGCAGAGTAAAGCTAGTGCATTTTGAATGTCTCCTCACGCTCTTACCTTCTGATTCCTCTCTTAGGATGAACACAGAATACCTCAGGACCAGCAGGAAGAAGAGCCTGTTTCTGAAACCAGAATAGAAATAAAAATTCCCAGTATCAACTCTGACTTAGGAAATGAATTATATTTTGTTAAACTACCCAAGTTTCTCAGTATAGAACCCAAGTAAGAGAACTGATTAAAAATTTCAAGATACTGACTAAAACTTTGAAGAACAAAAATATTTTTCTTATTTATCATGAATTGACTAATCATATAGATATTTCTCCTGTAACTTAAAAAAATGAATTTAGGATGTACTAAGGTAGAAAAATGAAGAATTATTGGTAAGAGTTTTAATATTAATAATCTTTCTAGCATTTTGGTACTTTAAACAGACATCATGACTGATGGAGGCATTTTTCACTAGTGTAAAGCTGAATAATTGGAAAATGAGTGAGGAAGATGAGACAAACCACAAATGTTCAGTGCAGAGATCATTGTGAATCTAGAAAACATTATTTTGACAACAAAATAATGTCGATGGGTAGTACCTATATGGAACATGGGTATAAGCTCTTGTGATTAAGCATGACCTGTTCTTAAAAAAATATATGAAATGCTAGATCATGTGTTACTTACACTTGCAAGACATATTCCTCCAAAGAAGACTTTGAATTATTAGTCACATTTGGATTTTATTTCAGACAATATGTTTTATAAATTTCAAGAAAGTACCATAATTTGCATACTTCCTTAAAGGCTTACATGAAGTTGTTCACTGTGATTTTAAGAAACATTGGTGCATATTGGAAAGATGAGTAATAGTGTCAATCATATTCATTATTAACTATGACTAATATGACATTAAAAAAATTTTAGACCTTTCGATCCTCAGTTTTATGAAGATGAATTTGAAGATGAGAAAGTGCTTTATGAGGAAGACAGAACCAGGTTAAAATTAAAGGTATTACCTCATGCTCTATTCCTTTTTTTGTTTTTCTTTTTGTTTGTTTCTTTAAAAAAAATTTTTTTTAGTTATAGTTGGACACAATACCTTTTTATTATTTATTTATTTTTTCATGTGGTGCTGAGGATCGAATCCAGCGCCTCACACCTGCTAGGTGAATGCTCAACAGCTGAGCCACAACCCCAGCGCTGTTTGCTTTTTTTATGAGATGGGGTCTCGCTGTATTGTCCAGACTGTCCTTAAACTCCTGGGCTCAAGGATCCTCCTGCTTCAGCCTCCTGAGTAGCTGGAACCACAAACACTCACCACTCTGCCTGGCCTAGTTTTTTCTTTTGTAAAGTACAGGAATGATAACTCAAGACTCGAGTTTATGAAAATCTTTCATGTTACCTGTTATCAATAAATAACTGTTTAGAACAAAGAAGTAAATGACTTTTCAAAGTATTTTTAGGGGAGAAGGGACATCATACTCTCTCTTTTTAAATTCCTGTAGGTTTGTCACTTTTCTTTTTTGTTTCTTTTTTTGCAATTTCAAATTTTTCGATAGAAGTAGGGATAAAAACTGTTGCAAACTGTTTCTTCCTTCAGGATTATGTAGTGAGGTATACAGAACTGCCTCCACATTTCCTGGTGGGTAGATGCTAGCAACATTCCACAGTAGAAAAGTCTTAGACTCTATGGATATTCAAATTATGCACAAAAATAAACCTTGCCATTAGCTTGTTCTTCTCTACAAGGCCTGGGCTGGCGGGCACTACCTGTCAGGCTCCACAGGATGTTTTGTCTTCCTTAATCAGGTTTCCTCTGAGCTCCTATCAGGGGCCCCAGTGGTAGCACAGGACATGGTCAATTTTTACTCTACTTTTATGACTTGGAGTTTCCCACTATGTGGGGAAATTTGGCCTCAAAAACATGGCAGAGCACAAGTCTTGGGTTTTAATTTTTTGTTAATTAGTTAGTTGTTTATTCTTTTTTAAAAATTTAATTTCATGCACAGAGTTCCTCTGTCTCATTAAGCTAAAGGACGCTTATTAAGCCCTTCTTTCCTGGACTCTGCAAAGACAAAGGTCTCAAATTCTTTTTTTTTTTTTTTTCTACTGGGGATGGAACCCACAGCTTCATGCATGCTAGGCAAGTGCTTTACCACTGAACTACACCCCCAGCCCAGAGGTCTCAGTTTGAACTGCCCACTATATGTGGACCAAAGCCTCAGCCTGCATCATGCTGTGCTTCTGCTTCCACTGCTGTGAATTGAATCTCAGAGAAGTTTTAAGCAAAATGTCTGTTTAGTTCAACCAATAACTCTAGGTATTTGCAGCAGATGGGTTTCAGTGTTTAGTAAGCTTATTCCATCATTACCTATCAATTCTTGGCATATGATTATAGATCACTTGAGGAAAAAAGAAGATGTATTTAAATTGGTTTTCTAATACCTTTGTGTTTTGAATCAGGTAGAAAATACTATACGATGGAGGATTCGCCGAGATGAAGAAGGAAAGAAAGTTAAAGAAAGCAATGCCCGGATAGTCAAGTGGTCAGATGGGAGGTAAATGCAATATGCCCCAAGAATGTTGAAATACTCCAGGGAGGCCTGGATGAGTAGGACTTTATTTGGGTGTTATTTTCATTAAAGAATTGACACACGGTAGACCCCTGGCTTTACCTAGAAAAACTGAGAGAAGCAAAGTCAAGGTCATTCTAACCTTGCTGGTGGGAGACCTTGGACATGGACCCAAGTTGTGTTCGAATCCCTTATGTCTGCCTTGTTCATGTGAAAGACTAAGGCTAGTTTTCATCTGTGAGATTCCAGATATTTTAATTAAGATTTTTGAAAAATGATTTCTGTTGGCTAATGAAGTGGTAGCAATTGGGGAAATTACAAGGAATTATATTTCAAGTTGAAAGGAGGATAGATTTTACTTTGAAGAGAAGTAAGTTATTGACAGTAGCTTTTCTTCCTTATGAATTCAGTATAAAGACAGGATCCCACAGTTCTTCATTTTTTAAGTGAAGCTAACAGGGTAGAATGGATGCTGTAGGGCTCACTAAATATTCATCTTAATAGCTGAATGGCTTTTCCTTTCCAGCATGTCTCTGCATTTAGGCAACGATGTGTTTGATGTCTACAAAGCCCCACTGCAGGGCAATCACAACCACCTATTTATAAGGGAAGACACTGGTCTACTGGGACAAGCCATCTTTAAATCCAGACTTACCTTTAGGTAATTGTTCCTATCTGCACATTGTCACTTGTGGTTAAAGAGTAACAAAGTGGAGTGTTGTTCCCGATTCTTCCAACTGACCTAATTCCATAGTGCGGCTCACCAAGGACTGGGGACTGATTCTCAAGTTAACTGCGAATTTCTGTTTTGGACGCCATTTCTCTGGGAGCTAGCTCATGCCATCAAGAGACTGATGTATAACCTAGGAGACAGGTATATTGACTCACATTGGTCAGCGCACCTGGTAACAGTCTTAACAATGCATTTTTGTGGCCTTTCCCTTTAGTGAAATTGACCTGGAAGGTAAGTGTCATCAGAATGGTGCCAGTGTGTAGATGCAACAGGCATGACCGGCTGTGCCCAAACAATGTGTAGATCAGCTGAGCTCATTGCCATGGGTGGTGCTGTGGCGCTTTCTAGACACCCTCCCTCTGAAAGACACACTGCTGAGATTAGGATCGACTTTCCTCTAGAGTTATGGGCACAGGTTCTGTTTGGGATCATGAAGATCTTCTAAAATCAGATTGCAGTCATTCTTGCATAACTTTGCAAAAAAAAAAATCATTTAATTCTATACTTAAAAAGAGTGAATGTTATGGTATATTATTATACCCAGAGAATTTGTTGGTGTTTATATAAACATTGTGAGGGACAGATCTGAGATTGTGTAATCTTGAGGAGGGGTCTCAAACTCACTAACTTCCAGTTCCCTCTGCTATAACATGAAGATAATGTCTACCTCTCAGAGATGTTGTGTTAATTAAGTTGAAGACTATATAAAACTTCCTGGAGAAACCTGGCACAATAAATGGTGCTCCTTTTAAGGATGTCTCCTAGAATGGCATCCCAAAGATACGCAGTACTTATTCTGCCTGTTCTGCACCATGCCCTGTGCTGCCCCATAGTGCCCTGTGTTCCACAGTGGGATATCTGCCCAACACAACTTTGTTTCTTACATTTCTCTGTAGCCATGCCTTCTTTGGAGACCCTTTCCTAAAGCTCATCCTTCCTTTGCTCTTTGACCTTCCTCCCAGTTTTATCCAGGTGGAGGGACTCACTTTCAGTTCTCCAATTGTGCTTTCTGCATTTGTGCCACCCTTAAAGAACTAAGATCTCGTATTACTTCTCTTCTATGTGAGTGGGGCTGTGTGTTCTTTATAAAAGCCCTTGACCTTACCACCTGCCTTCCCTTCTTTCCACTCCACTTCTACTTACACAGTCAGATTTCCCCAGGAGGAGGAGCAGCGGGGGGTGGGGGTGGGGTGGGGAGCTTCTCAGGGAGCCAGAGAATGGGAAACTGTGGTTCTGCCTCCTTGCTCTGTCACTGTGAGGTTGTCACTGTCTCCAGGTTATTTGGCTGTTAGTATGCTTGCCCCCAAATGTTCTTGGTAAAGAGTGAGACATTGTTGTTGTTCATTTCCTGGCAGACCTCACTCTACAGACAGTGCCACACATAGAAAGATGACCCTGCCACTCCTGGATAGAAATTCAAAGACACAGATTAGAATCTTGCCAATAGCTGGTCGTGATCCTGAATGCCAACGCACAGAAATGATTAAGGTATGTTCTCTAGGTTTTATCCTAGATTTTTTTGTGTGTGTATTAAGAGGTGTTATTTTCCAGAATATTAATTCACTTTTTTTTTGCTGCCACTATTATTTCTCGTAGTTACCAGAATCCAGCTTACCCTGCTAAGTTTGTAGTTTATCAGCCACAATAATGTCAATGGCTGATGGAAGCTTATAGCAAACAAGGGACTCAGGCGCTGTCCCCATGATCGATTTCAGAGAAAAACTATTGATTTTTAAAACTCAACCTCTTTTTGACAGACATTACAGAACTGTATTAGAAAATAGGAAGGTCAAAAGAACATTCCAGACTTGCCTGACACTGGTCCAGCCTTTTGACCAAAGTGCAGAATGCCAGGCAGCTGTAAGGCAAGGAAGGTTCTGCCTTGTAGCTTGGGGATCCCCTCACCCCCGCCTGTTGTCAGGGGCTGTGGGAAGCTCTCTGGGTTGAGGGTCAGGACAGGAATATCTAGACACTTTGGGAGTGGAACGTAGGAAGGTCCGGTGTGTGCAGCTCAGGGATGACAAAGACAGCCCCCACTCCCCTGGGAAGTCAATTCAGCTGTCCCGGGCATGGATTGGGTTTCTCAGGCTGTTGGCTTTTCTGCATGGGCTGAGTGGCACTGTCCTGAGAGAACAGTGTAAGTTCTGAGACCACTCCTGTGCCAGGTCTGAGTGGGCTGACTAGAGTGAGGGATCCTTCCCTCCTCTTCACCCTTGTATTGCCTTCATGATGTCAAACCAAACCAAACCATCCACTGTGTGGTAACAGAGGTGCAAAAAGAGGTGTCTGCACTCTGGAGATACAGGGCCTAGGTGCTGTCTTGGACTAGGCATTTACATGTTTCTTAGGGTAAAAGAGGGTTCAAGTAGGCATGAAAGTAGCTTTTTTTTTTTTTTGAGACAGGGTATGGCTGGTATAAACCTCTTGGCCTCAATTGATCCTCCCCCTTAGCCTCCTCAGTAGCTGAGATTAGAGGTGTACACCACCATGTCCAGCTAAGAGAGTTTATTTGCTTCTTTACAGAAAGAAGAAGAACACTTGAGGCTGTCTACTCACCAGGCTGTCCATCTGCAGGGGAAACAGAACCAGCAGGGGCCAAGTGTTCTCGACCAGGACCTTGGCAGTGATGAGGATGAGGAAGGTGAGGAGGCCTCCAGCCTGGATGCCACTGAGGCCCATTACTAAGGGAAACTCTGGGCTGTGCCAGGTTTGGTCAGATCTTACTTCAGGTGACAGGGCCTGCTTTGCTCTGGTGAGTTCTTCCTCCCTGTCCATCAGCCAGTACAACACCCCCACCCCACCCCCCACCACTTTGGTTGTTTTTGTTTTTGTTAGAGCCACTTTCTCACAGAAAAGGTTAACTGTGAACATAAGGCATTTCCAAAACAAAGAAAATGTATTAAATAAATGTTTGTGGAGGAAAATGTATGTTATCATATAAATTGTTATATATGCAGTTAATTGTATAATTAAGGACTCAGTATTTAAATTTCATAGTTCTTAAAGATGATAATACCTAACGTTTCTTGGTTTTTGTTTTTATAGTGTTAGGGATTGAACCCATGACCTTGTGCATGTGAGGCAAACACTCTATCAACTGAGCTATATCTCCACCCCCTTTCTTGGATATTTGAGGTTGTCAAATAACTTGAGAAAAACCTTTCAATCTAAGTCATTTCAGCAAGTGTGAAAGTTATATCTGCCTTCCCACTGACACTTAAAAATACCTGTTGTCTTCTCAAGGACAGTGTCTAGTGGGAAGTAACAATATTCAGCAGAAGACACTTTCAAGAATAAAAGGGTCATCATCTTCGTCAGTTGTTCTGGGAAAAGCCAGTGTAAAAGGACTGGCCACTGTAGGCAGAAGGTGCTGACAGACTAAAAAAAGAAGTAGACAGTTTCAGGATTGCACAGAATGCAATTTATTGGGGACTTACTGACAGAAGCATGGTCAAGGCTGGCAGCAAGATCAGTGGATCCTCAACTTGGGTGAGAGAAGGAGGATTATGTAGCGGTCAGGACAAAGGTGGTGTTCATCTACCAGGTTTATATGCAACTAACAGCAAAGACGTCAGGCACATTCCTGGTGCTGATGAACTAGGGTCTGATCATAAAGATTCACAAACCACTATGCATAGGACAGGGTTGCTCAGGGGCAACCATGGTGGTGATGATTCAAGATGGCTATGGTCAGGTCAAGTTGAATCACTACAGAGGTCAATACCATGTCTAAAATTCCTTTGCTTTCAGAGGAACAAGCTAGATATTCCTCAGACGACAGTGATGAAAGATCAGAAGATGAAGTTCAAAGATTACTCAAAGAAAAGAAAATCACTGGTGATGAGGTAAGCCCGCATTTACTCAATTCTAAGGGTTGGCCTTGTGCCCAGGAATCAACTCCTGGGAAGAGGAGCTCACAGACCAGAAGCAATTTGTCTCACTGAAATTCAGTGAGACAAATGCAATAATAGGAATTAGAGTGGCCCAGAGAAGGGTCTGATACCTGTGCTTGATGGCTCTTGGAAGGCTTCTCAGAGGAGACTTCTAATAGGCACTAAGAGTAAGTAGAAGCTTGGCAGGCACATGGGCCAGAGTTGAGCATTTCAGGAAGGAACATACTATAAGACAAGATGCAGGATTCTCAGATACCATAGCTCAGGTAAAGAATGATAGTTTGGTGTCAGTAAAACAAGGGATCTATCATGTTTGTTGTGGAAAAATGAGTATCTTTATTGTTTGGATATTATAGTAGTTGAGGGTTATTTCTATTGAAATATTTCTCCCAGTATTTCCTTGTTTTCTTTTATAACTTCAAAGGAACAAAGAAATTTTAAGTCTTAACTAAGTATGAGAATCACTGTTATTGCCTTTATGCCATATGAATTTATTCATTATTTTTGTAACACTTAACATATGTATTTTTTTTAGTACTGGGGATTAAACCCAGGGCACTCTACCACTGAGCTGCATCCCCAACCTTTCCCCCTACCTCCTAGGTGGGTCTTGTTAAGTTACCGAGGTTAGCTTTGAACTTGCCATCTTCTTACCTCAGCCTCCTGAGTCATTGGGATTACAGGCATGTGCCACTGTGCCTGGCTTGCATTCTAAGTTCCAGAGATACAGATAGAAATAAGTCTCATAGTCACATAAATGCTTAATTAAACTTTAGTGACTTTTTCATTTGTTTTCCATACACATATATATTTAAAGATTTAAAACCATACTGAAAAAACACATAAGTCATTAGCAATCTTTGCTTAAAATCAAAAGGCTTTTAAAAAGCTCTAAAATACTGAATTGTAGATAGAAAAAAGTGAAGTACTGAGGAAGAGAGGGACATATTTCAAGTAATATGGTAAGGTCACTCAGTAAACCAGGCGTGGTGCACATACCTATAGGTATAGGTATTCCTGTACTCAGGAGGCTGAGGGAGGAGGTTTGAAAGATCACAAGTTTGAGGTCAGCTGGGGTAACTTAGCAAGACCTTGTCTCAAAATAAAACAGTGGGCCTGGGGTTGTGGCTCAGTGGTAGAGCGCTTGCCTCCCAAGCGTGAGGCACTGGGTTCGATCCCCAGCACCACATAAAAATAAACATATTTTAAAACATTAAAAAATAAAACAGTGGTAGAGGGCTTGCCTAGCATGTTCAAGGCCCTGGGTTCAATCTCCAGTGTGGCAAAACAAAAACAGTCAGTATAGAAAGAAAGTCAGTCTTACATGACAGCAGCCCTGGGAAACCCAGTTTCTAGGAGCCTGACCTTATAGAGCCAGTGTCTTGTGTGATGCAGGTCAGCCACTAGGAGTGTCAAGGTCTAACATGAGGAGCTGACTCTTCCCTTGTCAGCTAGAACCTATTTTAGTAAGATTTCCAAAAATGCCTTATATTGAATTTTACAACTCATCTATTATCTGTTCAGGAGATGAATATTCCAGAAAGAGGAAAGCAAGGGGTGAAGAGGAAGAAGATGATTGAAGCATAAGATGTGCACTAGTATAAACTTCATTCAACAGGTTTTTTTTTTAATATTTATTTTTTTTTAGTTTTTTTTAGGTGGACACAATATCTTTATTTTATTTTTATGTGGTGCTGAGGATCGAACCCAGTGCCTCGCACATGCCAGGCGAGCGCACTACCACTTGAGCCACAACCCCAGCCCCTGGTTTTGTTTTTTTAAAAAAAATTTTGGTGGGGCTGGGGATTGAGACCAGAGTCTTGTGTATGCAAAGTCCATGCCCTACCAGTGAGCTACATCCCCAGCCTCTCAAGTTTTTTTTTTTTTAATGATGAAATGACTTGTTTTAATTAAAATTTTTTTTGCATAAACTTAGTTATGAATAAAAAAATGTTCAAAACCAAGTCTTTAGAAAATCTCCTTTTGCCAAGTGAGAAGATTATTTTGGTAAGTGTTTGCTCTGGGTGGGTCTTAGTTTGAGTGTATTCCTGCTGCCCTGCCCCACCACTTCCTCCTGGCCAGGGGTCAGACGTCAGCTTAAGTTCAGCTCAGGGATGGCCTCCAGGTGTCTTTCTGCCCTGGCAAGCTGGGTTTAGGGCCCTCCTGTGCTCTCTAGTCTCCTTGGCAAAGGCGTTAATTCCATTTACCACATGGCCTCCTGTCTTAGAAGAGCAGGTTCTGCATGGTAGGTCTCCGAGGATACTGGGAGCTTTGCTGAGAGCTGTTCTATTTCAGCTCTACCCCTCAAAACACCCTGAAGGTGTTATTATACTCACCTTACAGATGGAAACAATCACAAAGTTGAACAAATACATCAGTGACCTAATGAAGACAGATGCTCAAGATACTCACCTGAGATAAATGAGCTTTAAGGAAAAGAGCAATAGGAAACAGAACACTAGCTTCAACTCCTAGCCTTGTGACTCCCCTGGTGGGTGTAATAAATACATATGGAATAAAGAAACCAACAGTGTTATCTTGGGAAAGTCACTTTGATTTCTCTGAGGTCAGCTTCCTCAAGTAGATGGGTTTAGACTTGACTACGTAAATCCGTCATGATCTAACATTTGTTATTTCTCTGCCTCTGAGAGTTGAATACTAGATGCCTTATTATTAGATGGAAATGATTAAGGAAAAACATGCCCCATCTTCTCAATACAGAAAACCTGGACTTACATTCTATCTCCTTTTCCTACCTTTTTTTTTTTTAACTTGCAGCTGACCCTTTAGGTTGGGGAATCAGGTGCCACTCAGCTGCAAGTTTTTTTTTTAGAGAGAGAGAGAGAGAGAATTTCAATATTTATTTTTCAGTTTTCAGCAGATACATCATCTTTGTTTGTATGTGGTGCTGAGGATCGAACCTGGGCCGCACGCATGCCAGGCAAGCGCGCTAAGGCTTGAGCCACATCCCCAGCCCTCCTTTTCCTACCTTAATAGCACAATTTCATGAATGTATAGTAAACACTTTCATAATTTGCATTAGTTCCTGAAAGGAGATTTAGAGACTCATTCAGAACACCAAGAGGTACTAGCATAATTTAGTTGTAAGCTCAGGGATTCTTTATATGGCCTTGATGCTTAGATGTACCTGTGAATCTCCAGTTCCTCAATGTTTGCAGATCATGCAGGAAAGCTTAAGCATCTGAAGGAAAACAAATGTTTTGCAATTTTGGATTCACATGTGATTGGTTAGCCACCCAGAGTTTGGTACCTAAAGAGCAGAAGTGCCCCATGTACTGAGTGTCTTTTACTAGGCTGCTTCAGAGGACATGATGAGGGCACTCTCCCCACAGCTCCTGGCACTCTTGAGTCCTCTCAGAGGAGCCTCTCACAACTCCAAAGCCTCTCTAACTTGCCATATATATCAGGATGTCCTGTCTGTGAATATAAAGCTCAATCAAACCCAATACATGTTCCACTGATTTTCTATTTTGGCTGATGGATCTAGGTGACTGATATGCAATGACTGCTTTACTGTAAAAAGCACCTCTAGTTGATTAGCAAGACTGGCTCCTGTCAGGTCCAGAATGTACTGTATCACAGAACCCCGCTTCTTCATATCTGTCAATTTAATTTAGTTCTATGATCAGATAAGACCAAGTACTGATATTACCTTGAGCCACGTAAAACCTCTATTTTTATGGGTAAAAATGGCCAACTATTGACAATTTATATGGCTCAATAGCATAATATCTTAGCTGAGACTATTCTAACAAAGTATCAAAGATTAATTGGTTTGCACAACAGAAACTTCTCATATTTCTAGAGGCTGGGAAGTCCAAGATCAAGGTTCAGCACCTAGGAAGGGCTTTCTTTCTGGATTGTAGACAGCTATGTTTTCAACATCTCCTCACATGACAGAGAGTTTTGTGTCTTTTGTCTCTTCTCATCACAAGGGCCCCACATTTGGGACCTTATCTAATCCTAATTACCTTCCAGAGGCCCCATCTCCAAATACCATGACATTGGGGATTAGATCTTCAACCTACAAATTTTGGGGAGACACATTTTCAGTCCATAACAGGTAGGATAGAAAATTTAGGAAATTAGTAAACTTATTCTAGAATGATATAAATAATTAACTTTAAAATACAGGAACTAGGGCTGGAGTTGTAGCTCAGTGGAAAGTGCTTGCCTGGCATGCGTGAGGCATTGGATTCGATTCTCAGCAACACATACAAATAAATAAAGGTCTATCAACAACTAAAAAATATTTTTTAAAAAAATTACAGGAACTAAAAGGATTATGTGCTCTTCCAAAAAACCTAAGTCTACAGGATATTTGGTAAACTTTATTGAAATGATTTGTTCCAGGATATAATTGTTAAGTTCTAAATGCCTATAGTGCATATTCTTCACAAGAAACTTTATTGCATTATTATGAACTGAGGGGATTTTTTTTTATTATTTAAACAACAGTGTTATATAATTCATTGCTTTTTGTGCTTATAGAGATGGAAAAGTATGACATTTAGAGTATTTTGGATATATTAGCCAAGGAAAAAAATATCTAAAAACTTGACTTTATGTGACAAAGAATGATGTTACAAAGGCAATTTTCAAGCTTTTAATCCAAAAGACTGAAATAAAAGTGAAAATTTATTTGAAATTACAAAGGTTTTTATGCTATACATGTGCATACTTGTGTCTGTGGTTCTGGGGACTGAATCCAGGCCTCCTGTATGCTAGGCAAATGCTCTATCACTGAATCACACCCTCAGCCCCTGTGTGCATACCTTAAAAAAACAATTCTTAAGCAGACAAATCTAAAACTTTGAAACAACTGAATCAAAAACTCATTTTTCAGAGAGTGTAGTGACTGCTTGAGTCCAGAAGTATGAGGCCAGCCTGGGCAACACAGGGAACTAGTCTCAAGACAATAACAAACATAATGCAACAACAAAATACACTTGTCTTTGAGTGGAGATGAAACTTAAACTCTTAATAATGGCTAAACATACCCATCAAGAACCTAGAATTTGTTCTTAAGTCTTAAACATCACTCCAAGTATATAAACGATGATATCTGAAGGATTTTATGCCAGTTAGTTGCTTTGAACTAATATACTAATAGGCTGTAGAAAAGGGAGCAAAACCTCTACACGTAGACTCTAAGGATGTGGGAGAATCCTAAATAAAATACGTGAACTTGTTATAATTAACAAAATATGGTGGTGTTTCCTTAGTGTTTTAATTTATTAAACTCTAAAGCAGGTATCTTAAGTCCAATTCTTTTCTTTTTTTTTCTCCTTTTTCTTTTAGTAGCACAGGGGACTGAACCCAGGCCCTTGGGTTCAGCACTCTACCACTGAGTTACATCCCCAACCTAGTTCTTTACATATTAATAAAGGCTTTCTAAAATATATGGTAATGGCCATGATAATTTACTTAATTATGTCTTTTTCCCTAGGTAATCCCTAAGGTTGGCCCCTCTGAATAATGAGACTGCAAGGTAGAGTTTAAAATTAATAAAATGTTACAAATGTTTTATTAAAAATTCCAAATTGTCCAATTTTATAGAAAACTTATAGAACTGAATTATAGTGAAGAAAAATCAATGATATAAAGAATAACCAGATTAAAATATGACAATATAAAAATCATTGCATATGGATAGTATTTTCTCAATTTAAAAATCATTAGGGAAGAGTTTGATTTGTTTGATAAGCAAGTCTTAGAGTGAGAGCTATCCAGAAACAATAATAATCAGCATCAGCTGGTATTGAAGACAGTTCTCCAGATGTTTAGATCCAACAACTTAAAACCCTTCATCTGGCCAGAAGCAACAGGAGTTGTCTCTATTCCATCCATGTGTTTGTTTCTCTTGGGTGCCATGTTTTCAGTCAATACTGTTCAAAAGTGAAGTATCACTGTAGTGCAGGAGCAAAGCTGGACAGGACTGAGCCTGCAGAGAATGGCAGTGTCCATGGATTCCAGAGATAGCATGATCCTTGGATATGCTAGGAGGTAACAGTGGTTCCTGGTTTTATAGTGAGAAAATAAGGTAGCCCTGGGAACTGTAAGATTTCATGAAACTTCACAAACTTTTGTCTTATTTTAATGTTATATATAATATACAATCAAGGTTATATATAATGTACAACAGGACTAACATTTTGTCAAAACTTTTTTTTCTTTTACAATTTTTATTATATCATGGAATCCCTCCTTAAAAGGAAAACACACCAGATAATTGATTAATTGGAAAATGATCTAAAGTTCTATTTATTTAACTTTCCTCGAGTGTACCTCTTGCACAAAGCAAGTGGGTTACTTGATTCAGAGAAGAATTTGCTATTTAATGACCAAGAAAACTCCCCTTGAAATTGATAACAATCTGCTAGATTATGTAATACAATTGTTTATTTGGTCTTTTAAATGATGTGGCACCCTTAGAAAATATATTTTGCTTATTCTTTAGATTTTTACAAGGCTTTAGCTACAAATATATAGCACCAAAATCCATTTTCATCATATTAATATTGGCAATAAATATTGAGTTTTAAAAAAATTTCATATAGACATACTGGAAAAATTTGAACTCCAGACAAATATGAATATAAAATTTTATAAAATGGGTAATTAAATTTTTTTCTTAAAAAGCAACAATTTAAAAATGAAAGGACATTCTCTTAGATAAACATGTAAGTTGAAACTGATTAGATGAAAAAACTTAAGGTCTTAAAAATTCTCTTAAGATTGTATCAAAACCCAGTTAATAAAAGATTAAAAAGTGCCAATTTTTTTTTGGGGGGGGGTACTGGGGGTTGAACCCAGGGCCACTCTACCACTGAGTTATATCCCCAGACTTTTTTTTTTTTAATGAATTTAAACTTTATTTTATTTATTTGTTTTTATGTGGTGCTAAGGATAGAACCCAATGCTTCACCCATGCCAGGCAATACTCTACCACTGAGATACAATCCCAGTCCATGACTTCTTTTATTTTTTATTTTGAGACAGGGTCTTGTTAAATTGCTAGGGCCTCACTAAATTGCTGAGGCTGGCCTTAAACTTGTGATCTTCCTACCTCAGCCTCCCAAGTCACTGGGATTACAGGCATGAGCCACCACGCCCAGCGAGGTACCAGATTTTTTCAAAGTAAACACTGTTATTCTCCCTTATAATTATAATACTTGAGAGATTTCCATATTTAGTTGGATGAGTATTCATATTAAAATTATTTATAAAAAAATTATAAAATGTATTATAGCACAGAACTGGAATGGTACAAGCAAAATACTCAACTTAGTCATACTTTGATAAATAGTAGGTAAAAAAGATATTCCTGTAAGTATGATACAAAATTCTACGTAGGGACCAACCTTAACAATATTTAGAAAAAAAAACCCCACCATATGGGAGAGAGGGGAGCATACTTATTAACTGACTTACAGGGCAATGCAAATGAGGAAGCCTGGCTAGAAGTTTAAGTGACCAATTCTTTGTGGTAGCCTTAGATACCTGCTCCATGCCTGACTCCAAATCTTGCTGGAATTGCACAGTTTATAAAATCAAGTACAATTCAAAAGTTGTATATGTAAAGAAGGAAGAAGGGAGGGGAAGAGGAGAGAGAGAGAGAGACAGTAGAGGCTGGTGTTGGGGCAGGCAGTCAGGTGAGAAAGCAAGCAAGTGAAGCCTTTCTAACTTGGAAAAAAAAATCAGTGGCTTTTAACTGAAAGGGAATAGTGCAAAGTTAATCTTTGGCCCCTTTGAAATACTGGATACTGATTTTTCAAAAAGCAAACACACCACAGTTCCTATGAGGGAAGCTTTAGCCTGTTAAGAAGGCTTATTACTATAGTACACAAGCTGCTGCCTAGATCATGGGATAAATTGTCTGGCAGCCAAAATAGTAGACATTTTGTGATTCAACTTCAAAAGGTTTTTAAAAAACTAACCATGACAAACTACCTTCCCCTTACTCAGAAATATCTTTTTGTAAATGATCCAGGTAGGCCTTATGAGGCCAGTATTTTTCTGATCCCCTTCTTCCCAGTCTTCTGTAGATGTGAGTGCGTCTGCTATCTCCTGCTAAAGAGCTGCTATGGGACAGGACATGAATGCAAAATCAAACCCTGTAGCACAGCTGGGGTGTGCAGTGTCACACTTGTCCTCTCGCCACAGAACTCTGTTCAAGCACTCACCTTATACTCTGAGCAATAAAGACCACTTTTGTTATAGAAAATATTTTTATACAATATGGAAAAAGTGCAAGATGAAAGGAAGCATATAATAGAATCAGATTCTGAAGATCAGCACTTCTCTTTTTTGGCTGAAAAGTATGTAGTGGGGATTAAATATTGTCTATGCCATTCTGCGCTGCATATGGAACTTCTTGGCATACAGCACAATACCAAGTAATTTACACACATCCCAGTTTCTAACTTCCTTATAGTAACCATCAGTTTAAGTGGCTGTTTTGCAAGTTCCTCAAACCTGAACTCCATCATGTTACCTATGATTTCACATGTTTAGCAGCAGCTTTCTTTTTTATTTTATCCTAAATAACTGGGAGTTGGCTGTGTGCCTTTTTATGGGGGAAGAAAACAACTTTTCTACTCAGATGTTTTTTACCATTAGCTTTCATAAAAATTTAATAATGCCCACATTAAAATGAAAAACAGTAATAAACATAGACATAAATGGGCGTTGAAGGGAGAATGGGAAAAGGAAAGACAGTGGAATCAATCTGACATAAATTTCCTATGCACATACATGAATATACCATAGTGAATCTTACCATCAAGTACATCCACAAAGAATTAATTAAGAAATAATAACTGAGTAAATGGCAGAAAGATCAATAGAGGGAAGGAAGCTGGGGGTAGGAAAAGGGAAGGGGAAAAAGAGGTACTGGGGTCTTCACTAGAACATGATATATTCCATGCTTTCATTATGTCAAAACAAATTCTATTGTCATTTATAACTAAAATGAACCAATTAAAAATACTTAGACATACTATATTTTTAAACAAAGCGTATAACCTGGATCAGCTGATGATTTTGTTTAAAAAACAAATCCCTAGATGTTGCTGAGCTGTATCAGACAAGCACAGTAACCTGCACTGCATGAAGGTCTCTCCCTGGAGGTCTGCTTTGGCTTCTGAACACTTCACCAGATTTTGAGCCATCTGTTTAAAAATCATTGCATTTTGATTCCTTGATAAGGAAAAAATATACCCTTGCCAAGTTCATTTATTCTTAAAAAATGGAAAAGTATCCAGGTTACAAAACAAAGAAAACTTTTAAGTGCCTTATACCTCGAAGGAGCAATTAATATCAGCAATGTCCCTTTTTAATTTAAAAAACTGGTCCTCAGATTATTCTACATAAATGACTTCTGAAACTTATTTATAATCGTATTGTTTTTTGCCCAAGACTCATTATAAGTCATTTAATTAATCTAAATTAAAACTGATTTTAGTAGAAAGTGGAAATGCTTCAAAATATAAAATACCAGATACTATTGATTTTATAATTTTAAACTGATAACAACTTAAACTAGGAAAATAATGCATATAGTTAACAAAAAAGCTAAACAAACAAACAAACAAAAAAAAAGATTTCCAGTCTTTTCCCTTCTACCCAGAAAAATTTTACATCTGATGTCACCAACATGAGCCCTTGGTAAAGTTCTGAAGTCTTCCAAAGATTTATACTTTGTTGGACTTACTGGTGGTCTCCTTCAACTCGTTTCTTTCGCACTGTGAGAAAAAGAAAAGGGTTTTGGGGAATCCCTATTAGTTTCTACAATGTTAACTTGCTTATAACAAATTTCTGTACAATTCTGTTAGTTTTACAAAAATTAAGGTGCATTTCCAGTTCACATGGCCATTAATAAAAAAACAATTTCCCATCATTAACCATTGTTATTTACCTGCTGAGAACCAAGGGGCTTCTAAATAAGAAAGACGTGTCCTAAGCTCAATGACCCTGTGCTTATACAGTGGCAGTGCTAAAAACCTAAAACACAGAGTAGTCAGCATTAGGTTTGAGTCTTCTGTTTGTTGAAAAAATGTACACTTAGGCCAGGTGTGGTGGCGCATATCTCTAATCCCCATAACTTGGGAGGCTGGAGATGCAGGATCACGAGTTCAAGGTGAGCCTCTGAAACTTAGTGAGATTTTGTTTCAAAAAATAAAAAGGGCTAGTGATATGGCCCTTGGTGGTACAGTGCCCCTGGGTTCAATTACCAGTACTGGGTGAGGGGGTGGGGGGGAGAGTATACCTAGGTTTTATAAAGTGATTAATAAGTTACTGAATTAAATTCTGCAATGATATCAGACAGCTGGGGTTAAAAGGTATTAAAAGTAACAATTTGCATGCTCTTGTGGTTAGATACGACAATGTATTTCCTTAGTCTGAAAGAATATATACCAAAAGTATTTTTGTCATTTTTAAAGTAAGTGACTTGCTATTGTTTTCCAAATTTCCCTTCTCTTTCTTCTACAAAATGAACCAGTTGAGGGCTCTGATGAAATAACAAATGCAGGAAAAAAAAAAAAAAAGAAAGAAAATTTTAGACTCTGGTAATGTGCTGAGGTCAATTCTGGGTAATATAAATTTTGGTTCCAAAGTGGCCAGCCAATTAGTTCAGCTGATGGAGTAAAAAAAGGTGCATGTATTTGAGAACTCCCAGCCTCTTTACGGACAGATGATGCCAAACCATCAAGCTGTGCTTACAAGCAGCAAGGATACCAGGTCTTCAGCTTTAAAAATGTTCTATCTGTTCTCTCACCTACCAGCCACCAATAGCATTTCAGTGCTACTCAGTGTTGTAGCTGACTCCTATTTAGAGAGGACAAAAGGCACAACAGGTTCTGAAGTCAGTGCAAATGGGAATGTGGATCATGGCTCTGTCACTTTTCTGTAGTGTGTTCTCTGGTAAGTCAATTAACCTCTCTAGGCCTCAACTTATTCTATGTACCAGGAGAATGATGATATCTATACATATCTATACCTCCATGGCTGTGCAACTTAAGGCACTATAAGCTGCACTGTGCAGTACTTGAGAATACAGAAAGCCTTTATGAAAGAGTAGTACTCAGCTTCATTATTCACCATAGGAAGATTATATCAGCCACTTTTCCAAGGTGAGGAAAGGCAATTTGACTACTGTAAAGGATCTGTATTTATATGTTACTGTTTTGATACCTTTTTCAGTAAGTTTCTCTGATTAAGTTAGACTGGTCTATTAATTTCCTGCTCTTTTCTGTCCATGGAAGCAAGTAGTAAAGCAATTGACTCTTTAGCCTAACTGATGCCAACAGGTACACCTGGCCTCCCAACCAGGTCATAGACACTGCTCTGGCGTTATTCTGACTGCTGGCTTCTGTTTGTTGGCCTTTAACAGATGATATCAGACGTTCAAGTGATGGCTTGTCCAGCCAAGTAGAGTATCAGGGTCTTATGAACATTTTTATACTTATCTTTGCAAGCTAGTCCCAACTCTAATTTTAGTCCACAGTAATGAAGAATAAGTTTTACTAACATATAAAGGGGGAAAAAAAATCAAAGGAAACTTCTGTTTCCAAATACAAGCTTAGCTCATATTTATACATCTCTGAAAAACGGAAATATGTGAAATTATTTAGATAATTCTGTAGGGCAGAGTTTAGCTGTTATCAGTATACCATTTTAGATGTTAAAATGCATGTTACAAAAATGTTATGAACAAGATCTATAAGACAGAATATAGCAAACAAAAAAGGTGTAGAAAATTGGTTATGTAGTTAGCTAGTGTAAAGATGATAAACAGGATGAGGCTCAAGGTTCAACTGAATATTGTATGTATACCATATAACCTCTTTGCTTTTATATCTGTGACACTTCTTAGACGGAGAGATGGCGAGTAGGTAGAATTATTTCAATGAATAGTTGTGACTAAGAAAATAATAAGAGAAAGATGTTACCAAAATCAGAACACCAAAGACCTGATAAGTCTAATTTGTAAGCTGAAGAAAAATAATATGCCCAAGAGAGTCTGTGCAAGTTTTAAGTCTCATTCTTAGATAGCTCTTTTTGAGTTACTACATATCAGGCTGCTGAGATCAGCACCTGACAAAAGATATGGTCTTTAGACTTTCATCAATAGGCAGAGATTAGAGTGTATGGCTGGGAAAAAATTAAGCTGAGAGTGGATGACCAGGAAGTTGCTGCTGTGTGCACAATGTGATGGGTAAGAGCCACTCTCTTTTTTCTCACTTGGTGCCCACTTGTTACTTTTCAGCAATTCCTCAGTTTATCCTTTAGATAATAGGCTGATAAATTTTGCCCTATTAACAATTATTTGGGCCTAGTCCAATTTCTTTCCAAAACCCAACTCACTTATATAAATTCTTAATATTTCATCAGTAATCAATTGTAAGTCCTAACTTCATTGTCTCTAAGAGTAATAGGAATAAGGTTTTTTTTTTAAAGTATTGTATTAATCATACATTTAGACATCTAAGATGTTCTCAAACGCTTCCCACATAACATCCAACAAATATAATTTTAGTATCTTCCACTAACTATGCTTCTTAATCTGCTAATGTTACTTTTTTATTCTGTACTTATTAAAACAAGTACTTATGGAAAGTTTATTCTGGACTCAGTATCACGTTATGAGAATTAGCTCTCAAAATCTATGGGTCTTCCTCAGCATATAAATAAATAACTTGCTTATTCTTATATCTGAGCCTTTCTTCATTCATTTTTCTCACTCCAGGAATGTCCTCCTTGTCATTTCACATCTGAGACCCAAGTATGCAATCCAGTTGGGACCAGAATCAAACAACATGAGTATAGTCTAGAGAGCTTCCAGCACAAAGCTGTTTGCTTCCTCTTTTTTTTAAAATACCTTTATTTATTTATTTATTTTTTATATGGTGCTGAGGATCAAACCCAGCGCCTTGCACATGCTAGGCGAGCATTCTACTGCTGACCCAGCCCCCGATTGCTTCCTCTTGATTCTTCTTTGTGTCAGACTTTATCTTCAACATGGCCTCCTTATCTTCTCTAATATATAAACTGTTCAGTGTCTACATAAGGTAGCCTAGGAAATAGTTTTTTCTGCTCTCCATTTTCATCTGCCAAAATCTCCTTATTCTAATACTAGACATTTCTTTTCATACGGTCTGTCAGAAGAATACAACTGCTGAGGCCTTGCAAAGGTTAGTTTCCCCAAGGTGACATTTATGGGCTTTCACTGTGCAGTTCCTGCAAGGACAGCTGCTGGGATCACCGGCCTGCTGGGAAGGACGCAGGTGACAAAAGATGGTTAGGACTACAAATTTGTTGATGGCATTCTGGGATTTGTTAAGATAGTTTCAAAGGATAAGAAAAATGGAGGATACTCGCGGCTTAATTTATGGCTACTTGGTTACCAGGAAATTGTAACTTTGAGCAAAGACAAATTTTGCCCCTTATTTATTCACTTAATTTTTAATAAGAATCTGCTATATGTCAGACATGATTTTAAGATTAAACATCTGGACATGGCCTCTCTGCCAACAACATGGTCCCTACCCCAAAACATACTATTTCAATGAAGTAGAACTGATTTACTCAGTAAAAGCCATTTAGAAAGTATGACAGAAGCTGTGACAAGTAGAGGATACATGAGGCACACATGCTCAATGACAGAAGCAAAACTCCAATAGCCACTTATCACTAGAGAAACAAACCAGGGTTTCACTTAATGTGAACTATTACACAATCAGTTGGAATAGTTATTTTTTTTTTTAAAAGGTTCTTCTTTTTTTTAAAAAATATTTATTTATTTAATTAATTAATTATTGGCGGACACAACATCTTTGTTTGTATGTGGTGCTGAGGATCGAACCCGGGCCGCACGCATGCCAGGTGAGCGCGCTACCGCTTGAGCCACATCCCCAGCCCAAGTTGGAATAGTTATTAAGCATCTGAATGACAAGTCCTTTATTTCCCTAAAAGAAGGAAAGCCGAAAATCTGCATGTTTTTAAAGGTCTTCAATTATTTATGAAGTTCAGCCAGACTACACTGCTCTAGCAAAATCAAATTAAATACCTGGAGAAAAAAATGGAAACTTGTGAACCAATACTAAAACAATTTTAGTATGAGTTTGCAAACTACATCTAGAATTGACAATCCACCAAAACAAAGCCATTTTTTAAAAAGTCCAAGTGGCCAAAATTTCCTATAGGAAATACAAAGGACAGAAGGGTTTGAATGTTTTTATTTTTTTAAAAAATATATTTATTTTTTAATTGTAGTTGGGCAAAATACCTACCTTCATTCATTCATTTATTTGTGGTGCTGAGGATCGAACCTAGAGCCTTGCATGTGGTAGGCAAGCGCTCTACTGCTGAGCCACAACCCCAGCCCAAATGTTCTTGCTTTTCTTGGTGATATGGATTAAAGAAATGGAACTGTATTTTTTTCTGCTCCAGAAACTTTAAAAGGCAGCAAACTCGAATATGGCTGAAGTTTAACAAAACTACATCACTTTGAAATTTAACTCCTTTTGAGAAGTCTATTTTAATTCTTTCTAAAATGCATCTTTTAAAATACTTTAATACCACATATCATAACTTAAAAGAAGAGTCACTTTTTGGAAACATGTACAAACAAATTTTGAGCAACATATTCTTCTTAATTCAGCTGTGGCTGGAAAGTTTATTTCAAACATAAGTCACAAGACGCAGCAGCTCAACAGAAACATGAAAGAAAGGGAGACTGCTGTTCTAGCTGTGTGAAGTGGGAAAAAAAATGGTGTCATGTTCGGGAGACCACCAAGTGCAGCATTTATGTATCAGTGACTTTACAGCTTGGGGTAAAACTATAACTATTCTTTATTTCATCATCTAAAACTGAATTTCCATCTGGATCTGTTCTATAAAAAGGACAAGAACCTTGACTGTACTGAAATATTTGTAAATGAGAACAAAATATTTGTTTTATAGAAAATTTCCTTAAAGCTATAAAATATTTGTCACAGAAAATTGGCTTATCACCAACACAATGATCACCACAACCTAGCTAAACTTTAACTCAATCAGTACAAAAAGGACTGTGTAGATTTTAGAAACAAAGAACCAGTAATTTCTCTGTCAAAATTTATTTTAGAAGTAAAATAGATGTTCCCCCAATCTATTAGCTTAATAATATAATTCAGAAACTTGATTTGACACTTCAAATGTCTTACCTAAGTCGTTGTTTTTTGTTATAGCATTAGCTGCCCTGGTTCGGGGTCCTTGCTGTGTAAACTGATACCCAAATTTAAGGATATTTGCATTTTCCTCAAGCATCTTGGCTATTTCCAGTTCTACAGCTGTTCCCAACTGTTGCCTCTGGAAGAATTAGAAATGAATATTAGTATTAAGAAACTAGGTCAAAATTTTTCTCAAGTAAATCAAGACTAAGATATTCAAACACATGTTAATAGCTGGTCTCTTTAAATTTTCCAATTCCTACAATGAACATAGAAACAAACAAAAAAAAAAAAAAAATTTTTTTTTTTTTCAGTATACCTCCAGCCCTAATTTTTATTTTTTTATTCTGAGACAGGGTCTAAATTGCCATAGCTTGCCTCAAACTTATGATTCTCCTGCCTCGAGTCTCCTGAATATCGGATTACAAGCATGCACCAGTACACTCAGTAAGAAACAAAATTTTAAAAGATCAATATATGATCATACAGACATAAAAAAAAAAAAAGTACATTCCATAATGAGACACCACCTCATGTCCATGAAGAAGAGAATGATGGGGGAAAAAAAGGATAAGCACATGGTGTGGTGCTATGTACCTATAGTCCCAGGTACAAAGGAGGCTGAGGCAGGAGGACTACTTAAAGCTCCCAGAAGTTTGAGACAAACCTGGGCAACATAGCATGACCCTGTTAAAAAAAAAAAAAAAGACAACAGCAAGAAGAATGTGGGAAAAACTGAGGGTCCCCTCTGCATTTTTGGTAGGAATATAAAATTCTACAGCTGTCATGGAAAACCATTTGGCAAATGCTCAAGAATTTAAACAGAATAACCATACTATGAAGCAATTCTACTCCTAGGTATGTGCCCAAAAGAAATGAAACTCAAGTTCACACAAAAATTTTTACATGAATGGTCATAGTGGCATTGTTTTTATAGAATATTATTCACCCATCAAAAGGAAAGGAGTACTGATACATGCTATAGCATGGATGAACCTTCAGAACATTATGATGGTAGGTCAAAAAAAAACAGTCATAGAAAGTCACATATTACATAATTTCATTGAAACCTTATTACCAGTTTCCAGGCACTGGTAGAAGCAATGAATGTGAGTGATTGCTCATAGGTATGGGTTTTCTTTTTTGGACAGTTATTTTTCAAATTAAAAAAAATTAGTAACCACCCTGGATGGAAGCATTTCTAACATGTATAATTCTCTCTGCCTCTTTAAAAGTTCGTCTGGATGTGGGTGACCCCAGCATTATGTTAAGTACCATGACTGTACTTACTTAGCCAGACAGACTGTGCCCTCAGGGTAACTAGATATTGGAAGTTTTGTTTTGTTTTTTAACAGTACTGTGGACTGAACCCGCTCTACCACTGAGCGACATTCCCAGTTTTTTTTTTTTTTTTCATTTTGAAATGGGGTCTAATTTCCTGAGGTTAGCCTTGAACTCATGATCCTCCTGCCTCAGTCTGCTGAGTAGCTGGGATTATAAAGTATGTGCCACCATGTCTGGCACTGTTCTTTCATTTAACCTATTCCATTAGTCTACTATGTGTTTGAGATTGTGACACATTATAAACATAAAAATCTACAATGTTGATCTTGCTACCAGAGAGCTAAAAAAAAAAAAAAAGGAGGACAGACTGTCACATGTATGAGCCCTTTCAGTTCAAAATAGGCAGCCATCTCAATTCTCTTAAAATGACACAGGGAAAGTTGCTTGGTACACATCTTCAAATACATTAAGTTAATATTCTGGGTGCTCCAAATGTCCTCTCATCCCCTTTAGTCCCCCTTCCCCCCACCTCTTCCACCCCCTGCTTTCCCTGCCCAGGTCCCAAGCCCTACACAGTGTGGGCTGTAGCTATTGTACAACACTGACCTGATTGTCAATTTTAAGCTCTGCCAGGGTCTCATTATCTCTTAAACCATCAATCAGTGCCAGAACCCCAGCTCCTGTAATGAAGTTGGACTCCATATTTAAGCTCTTCAAAGTTTTGTTTACTTTCAGCATATCTGCAAAAGCCTAGAAATTCAAGAAAATATTTGGAGATTAAAATTTGATAGCACCTATTACATGCTGCACATTCCATAAATAAATACATAAATTAACATAACTGCCTTAATGTTTCTCTTTAGATTGTTTCAGCCTGACACAATATTGTAGAGGTTTCACATGTTTTCTACTTGTCACATGTACCCTGTTATAATCTTTAGGTTTTTTTGGTCACATGTAATTTTCTACTCCTATTTACATTCTCATGTTTATTTATATGTTATTTCATGCTTCTTTCTCCTAAGTTTCCAAAGCTTTCTCTCAGTTTCTGTGTAGAAATAATTTCATCTTCTCTTACTGCAGCTGGGTCCTGCTGCAGCTGAATCACTGTGAAGCCAAACTGAGAAGAAATTATAGACTAAATTAATTTCCAAGGCAGAAGACCAAAAAAGATCACGGATAACTAGAACTGAAAGAGCTAAGACTATGGAGAAGAAAGAACTAACTAAATATTAAATTCCTCAAGGAATACTGTCTTTACTCTGCTTCCATTAAATTTCTCTCATGATATGAGGCAATGCTAGTCATTCTGCTCAGTGTTTCTGTGTGTGTGTGTGTGTATGTCTCGGGGATTGACCCTGAGTTCAATCCCTTATATATAAACACACAATAATCTGATACATATACACATAATAATATATGTACATACATATGTAATGATCTAACTCAAGTAAAATCATCAAATTCTGATGCTGTGTAAAAAACTGACTTTGCACTGGGTAAGACAGAAGGTAGCTCACTAGGAGGCTCCTGCAGGAGTCCCAGTGAGAGAAGATGGTGGCTTGGATTAGGGCATAGTAATTAATGAAAATGGTTAAAAAGTGGTTAGAGTCTAGCTAAACATGGAGGTGCATGTCTGTAATAGCAGCAATTTTGGAGGGATTGCAGGTGTGTGCCACCAGGCCGGCTAGAATCCAACCACTTCCAGCCTCAGCAACTTGGCAAGGCCCTAAGCAATAGCAAGACCCTGTTTCAAAAATAAAAAAAAATAGAGGCTAGGGTTGTGGCTTAGAGGTAGAGCGCTTCTCCTAGCATGTATGAGGCACTGGGTCTGATCCTCAGCACCACATAAAATAAAAAGATATTGTGTCCATCCTATAACTAAAAAATAAATATAAAAATAAATAAAAATAAAAAAAAACAAAAAAGTCTGGGGCCAGGCACGGTGGCTCACACCTATAATCCCAGAGGCTCAGGAGGTGAAGGCTGGAGGATCACGGGTTCAAAGCTAGCCTCAGCAATTTAGCAAGGCACTAAGCAACTCAGTGAGACCCTGTCTCTAATAAAATACAAAACAGGGCTAGGGATGTGGCTCAGTGGTCGAGTGATTCTGTATTCAATCCCTAATACCAAAAAACAAAACAAAAAAAAGGGATGTAGCTCAGTGGTAAAGTGCCCCTAGGTTAAATCCCTAGCACCAAATAAAATAAATAATTAATTAAATAAAAGAAATTGGTTGAATTCTAGAAACATTTTGAAGATGGTACTGAATGTGTTTTTAAGACTGTCAGAAAGGGATGTCAAAGATGATTCCTTTGTTTTGCCTGAGAAATAGATCAAAGTTGCTATTTAAGTAGAAAAGATTGTGAGTCAGGAGTTTGGTTTGGGAGTTTGATGTAGGTGTCTATTAAATATCCAAGTAAAGCTGTTGAGTAGGAAGGTGAGCATATGTAAGGAGTTCAGGAGAGAGGTACAAACTGGAGATAGTAACACTGGGAGTCATCAGCATACATAGTTAGCATACATGGATGAAATGGAATGAGATCACCTAGGAAGGTGCAGACAGAGAAAAGAAGGATGAAGGCCTGGACTAATTCCAATGTTTAAAGGTTGGGGAGATGAGGAGGAACCTTGTGTAGGGAGCTGAAATCACTTAGTGAGGTTAGAAGAGAACCGAAGGAAGTGAAATTCCCAAAGCAAAGTGAAGGAAAAGGTTCATACCATGACCAGGGATTTATCTCAGGAATGCAAGGCTGACTTAACATACAAAAATCATTAGTGTTAATGTATCATATTAATAAAGAACAAAAGCCACATGATCATTTCCACAGAGAAAAAGCAAAAACATTAAAAAAAAAATAAAATAAAAAACTACAAAAGTCTAAAACTACAGAACCATATATGAAATCCTCTGCAGATGTTAAAAGAATATATTAGGTTTTTATGTGCTGGTATGAAAAGATCTCTAAGATAAATGTTGAGTGAAAAATCATGTTACAGAATAGTATATATTGCATAATTCCATTTATGTTTTTGTTTTCACAGTGCTGGGGATCAAACACAGAGCCTTGCACACATCAAGCAAGCACTCTACCACTGAGTTATACCCCAATCCCCATTTATGTTTTAAAAAGTTCATAGAAAGAAATGCAGGAAAGGGCTAGGGATGTGGCTCAAGCTGTAGTGCGCTCGCCTAGAATGTGCAGGGCCCTGGGTTCGATCCTCAGCACCACATACAAATAAAGATGTTGTGTCTACTGAAAACTAAAAAAAAAAAAAAAATTCTCTCTCTTAAAAAAAAAGAAATGCAGGAAAAAATAAACACAAAAAGGTAGTAAATAATGAATTGCCTAATAGTGAGCTTAAACATCAATTGAAAAAAGGGACTAAATCTTGTTTAAAAAATCAGTTTGACCTCATTGTAACATATCCAGGTATGCATGCATTATTTCAATATTCTTAATAGTAGTGTACTTACAACAGCAACAGGATCATTGCTTCGGGTGGCTGCAAGACTGAAATATTTCACATGTGTATTGGTTTCCAAAGCCTTTGCAAAGTCTTTTAGGGTTGGAATTGGGATATTCTTGAAAGACAATAACATGTAACATATTTCATTTTAGTTTTTAAATTCAGTCCATTAATTAAATATACCTGTACTTACTTTCTGTTTTAAAAGATACTCAGAAATTATAATAACAAGTTTATAAATGAAAAATAGCAATGTCCTCAATATCTATGTGATTCTCTATATTGGTGCATTTGCAGAAACATACCACTATTTCTCTAGCACTTCAGTTAAAAGAAACTCACCATTGTTTTAGTATATGAAACCAACCCCTAATTGTCCAAAATGGAACCACTTTTCTCTAAGAAGAGAGATATGAAGTCTGCCTCCACTGAGTATGATTCCTGAGGCAGATGACATACAATTCTCAGTTGCTTAGTTTACAGACTTAGGAGAGATTAACCCTATACTACCTAAAGGAGGAAAATATGGAAAGCACTGATTTTTCTGGTGGGCAATCAAGATGCCAAGTCCCTATAGTCTTGCAGTTTTCAGATCATTAATCTTTACTTAGAAACAAAGAGATACAGGGAGTGAATTTAAAAAAAAAAAACCCAGACAATTAGTGATCAATAAGGATATTCATTTTCTCCAAGACCTTCTTTCCTCCTAACTCATTTCTTCTTTCCTTACTCCAAGGAAGAGTTGCATTGTTTAAAAACCAATAAAATCTCAGAAAACCCATTTCTAGATTATTTACCCAAGAGAAATAAAAACATATGTTCACATGAGAACTTGTACTGTAGTTTTATATGTAATCATCCCCAATTAGAAGCAACCAATATGGATAAACACACTGTAGCATATCCACAGGATGGAACGCTACTCAGCAATAAAGGAACAAAATCCTGATACCTGCAACAACAGGCAAATCTCAAATACATTATGCCAAATGAGAAAGCCAGACTCAAAAGGCTACATTCTGTATGATTCTTTTTACATGACATTCTGGAAAATACAGAATTATGGAGAAAGAAAATAGATTGGTGGTTGTCAGGGGTGAGTTGTGGGGAAGAGAATGACTACAAAGGGGCAAAGGGGTATGAGGAACTTCTGGGGTAACAGACATGTTTTTTATCTTTACTTTGGCAATGGTCATACAACTGTGTATATTTGTCAAAACTCAGAACTGTATACTAAAAGGGAGAATTTTACCACATACAAACAACACCTTAAAAAAATTTAATTTGGCAAGATGTGGTGGCGCATGCGTGTAATACCAGAAGCTCGGGAGGCTGAGGCAGGAGGACTGCAAGTTCAAAGCCAGCCTCAGCAAAAGCAAGGTGCTAAGCAACTCAGTGAGACCCTGTCTCTAAATAAAATACAAAATAGGGCTGGGGATGTGGCTCAGTGGTCAAGTGCCCCTGAGTTCAATCACCAGTCCAAAAACAAACAAACAACAAAAAGAAACTAATTTAAAAAACAATAAAAGAGCTGGGGACATAGCTCAAAGGTAGAGCATTTGCCTTCTATGCAAAAGGGCCTGGGTTCAATGACCAGTGCCACAAAACAAACAAAACCCCAAAGACTGAAGTTCTTCAAAGAAGGCAGTACTTTAAAGGTCAGAGAGATTTACAGAGAGTTTTTAGGGCTTACACTTTATATAATAAACTCTTTTAAAAGTAAGTAAAAAACGCTATTATATAATACCTTAATTTCCAAAATTTGAAGGAACCTATATTACTACATGCTCATGAGCAAAAACTTTACCTTAAAGTAGAATCAGACTACTATATCAAAACTACCCCACTGTTATCCTAGGTTCAACTAATTCAAAGCAATACAAAACAACTTTATGGTCTGCTTAACACACTTACCTTTATGTTATTCAAATTAACTTCAACAAGATGAGCATCGTTTTCTTTAATTCTCTTTAAACTCTCTTCAACGTTGGTTGGATTTGGTGGCTCATCAAATGCTGGAAGAATCTTTTCACCTTTCACTACATCTGTAGTAAACAACGAAAAGAGCACAAGTTGACGGATTGAGAATGGATTCACACAGTTACTTGGTAACACACACCCGTCTCTCTCTTTCACACATGCACACACACATACTTAACAGAATAGATTTAAGAGTTCCTTCTCCATAATTCCTAAAAGAACCTTTGTGTGTTGACATATACATATAAAGCTGAAATAAGATATTATTAAATACAAACACCAAGGGAAGAGTAGGCTCTTTCTCATTTAAATTCATCAAGACAGTCTTCTTCAAGATAGCAAATCAAGGGAGATGGGGAAGTTCTTTCTCACTGAATGGAAAATTTAGTGTGTTCTATATTTTATAAAACCAAAGGATTTCTTTTCCCATTCAACAAAATATGTTTATTTAAAGAGCCCTGCCCCTTAATGAAACAAGGGATCTGGCCAATGGGATGCTGAAATCATTAGGTAAATAAGGAGCTTTACACAGATGATCTGATTACCAACATCTGAATCTACTGATCAATCTTAACAAGTTCCCCAAAGATGAGGATCAGTCTTGATAAGCTGCTACTGCTGTTTCTTTCTTTCTTTTTTGGTACAAAGGATTGAACACAGGGAGGCTTAACTACTGAGCCAATCCCCAGCCCTTTTTATTTTTCATTTAGAGACAGAGTTTCACTAAGTTGCTTAGGGCCTTCCTGAGGCTGCTGAGGCTAGTTTTGAACTTGTGATCCTCCTGCCTCAGCCTCCCAAGTGGCTGGGATTACATGCATATGCCACCATAGCTAGCTTGATAAGCTTCTTAATGTGATTCAATCACCAACTGTGAGGCATTCTTAAAAAAACAAAACAAAGCCCTGCAGCTGAATCTGATCAAGCCACTAGACTGAATAGAAACAAAGGAGACACGAAAGGTAACATCATGGGGTTGCAATCAGCTGAATCGAGGATGTAGACATTTTTACTTGAATGAAATCCAGTTTCTTCAAGAAATAAATGACATGAAAAAGTGGGTGGGAAGAGCCAGTTGAGGAGAACTGTTAAGAAATTAAGAGAGACTGGAAAATCAAATAACCAAATGCAATGTGTAACCCTTATTTGGACCAAGCATGAAATGACTTTTTTGAAAGAACATGGAAAATCTGGACTTGCAATGGATTTTGGAGATATGAAAAAATTATTCATTTTTAAGTTTAACAATGGCATGTGGCTGTTAAAAAGAAATGACTTGGCTAGGCTTGTTGGGGCTGAGACTGGAGGATCAAAGCCAGCCTCAGCCACAGGGAGGTGCTAAGTAACTCAGTGAGACCCTGTCTCTAAATAAAATACAAACATAGGGCTGGGGATGTGGCTCAGAGTGCCCCTGAGTTCAATCCCTGGTCCCCCCCCCCCCCGGAAAAAAAAAAAAAGACTTCTTTATTTGTAAGAGACACATATGGAAAATATTTACGGATGAAGTAACATAAGTGAACAGGATTGGCTTTAAAATACTTAAGAAAAAAAGTGGATTAAGTTGGAAGTGAGGCAGAAGGTAGATGAAACAAGGTTGGCAAAATGTTAAAATACAGCTGAACCTAGGAGATGAATACATTATTCTATTTTTCTTTTATGTATATTAAAACATTTCTTAAAGAAAAAGTTAAATTTAAACTGGGGAGGATGGCCATATTATAGACCATTATAAAACAATGTTGTGAAGATGTCAGAATGAGGTATATTTATATATACTAACCAGGAAACATGGTACATTGCTGAGTGATTTACTCCACAGCATGTGTTAAAACTACTGATTTTTGTGTGACAGTGAGGCTCCTTAAGTCTTCATTCTAAATCCTAGCTCCCTCACATGCAAATTAAAGATAATAACAACAACAACAATAATAATACTTATTTCACAGAACTGTTGTAAGGATTGAGAATAATCCACATTCAGAAACTGTGCCCAAAAAACATGGCCACAGAAAACACCGAAAAAAAATTAGCCAATAGCATTATTACAGTAAGGTGCAAGGAATATTTATAATATATCACTTTAAAAAAATTCAAACAACTCCCCCCAAACAATTTATATTATATATAACACATATAGATTTGTATAAACAGTAAAGTCTAGAAGGTTATATATCAAATTGTTAACAGGATGGTGGTGGAGGAGTAGTGGGCACAATGACTGTGGATGGAGATATTTTTACTTCTTATCCTTATACACTATTTAAACGTGCTACAAATCATGTATTGCCTTAAGAATTTAAAAACACTTTAACAATGTATTTTTAAAATTTTTAAAAAATATTTATTAAAAAAATGTTTTAAAAAACCATTTAATATTTAGAACCAGACTGAAAGGCTTAGGGGCTGAATATTTTTGTGGTTTCTCCTGAATCTGATTTTATAACACAGATTCTTTGAACTGCTTTGAATTTCTTAGAAATCAGCAATAACAATGATAACATATCAATAAAAACTAAGTCTAACTAGTTTTTTTTTTTTTTTTTTTGAGGTTCTGGGAATTGATTCCAGGGTCTTGCATACTAAGTTTTATATTGCTTACTATTAATATTATTTACTGAGATAACAGCAGTTCCTAGTACATTTGCTAACAAATTAAGCAAAAAGTATTTATTACTTTATTTTCAATGGCTTTCTTTGTAATATCATCAAACTGAAATTTTATTTCAAGTACATATATACAATATTTGGTATATAAATACTAAGACTAATACATGAAGAAAACAATATATTTAGTAAAGGATTGGAATTCACAAAATATTTTAAGTACTCACTTGAAAAATGTCCTTTATCAACACCATTACTACTTCCCACTATATCACAAAATTGTGTATTTGTTATCAAATTATGCATCCCAAGAATAGCTGTAAATATAGGAAAAGAGAATTAGGCTTTATTTCCATCTGCTTTAAACTCCCCTCCCACCTCGAGACAGAGTCCTGCTCTGTTGTCCAGGCTAGTCTCTTGGGTTCAAGTGATTCTCGTGCCTCAGTCTCCCAAGTAGGTGGAACTATAGGTTTGCACCAATGTACCTGGCTTGCAACCAAAAATTGTTATCAATAACTTTAACATGCTCCAGACACTTTTTTACTAACTAAATGCAAATTTTACAGTAAAAGAGGAGATAATGTGATTAAAAATCACCTACAATCTCATCCTCACAAATACCCTTGTTATTTTCCTTCCTATTTCTGAATTTAAGATTAGCCCACACTTTAAAATTCAGATTCACAGCTGAAGTCAGCCTAACCATATTTAAGGTAAACCAGTGCTTAGCTCCATCTGGTGGCTAAAAAAGAAAATTGATCAATTTATCTCAATAAGGCTTCGAGGAACATAATGCTATAAAAGACAGGTTTCACCTTATCTCTGCTATTTTTTAAAGTTGTCAATGGACCTTTACTTTTATTTATATGTGATGCTGAGAATCAAACCCAGTGCCTCACACATGGTAGGCATGCACTCTACCACTGAGCTACAACCCCAGTCCCTCTGCTATTTTTATATTTGTTAAATTCATGTCATTTAAATTACATTTGCATTCTAGTTAAGATTAGAATACTATTAAATTCTCAAAGAATAAAGTAGCATCCCTCAGGAAATAAGTTTAATTTTTGATGCCTTTTTTGTACAAATAAGGCAGAAGTTTCAGTATGCCCTGACCCATTTCACTCTTACAAATGTACATCTACAAATCCACCAGTCCTCAGTCCCTCAAGGAATACAGCGCATGCTCTGTGACACCACACTTCAACTTTCCTCTTCCAAGGTCCTTCCCAAAGAACCATCATTACTACTTTCAAACATGTTAGTTCTTGGGGTTATTTGGTACTAAGATCTACCCATGTGTCACATTTTTCTGTTGAGAAAAACGGCAGAGATTTCACTCGTCTATATAAGACATTCACAATAATGAAAATAATAAGAAAGTTTGGAGTGCTCCATATACACTTTAGAAAAGTTAGCAAAGTGGCAAGTAAAATTCAGAAATGACTGATCCACTTGCTTTCCAGTGACCTATCTCTAGGTCTTCTGATAAAATGGGGCAGCAATCGACCCTTGAAGACTCTTTCAGTTTTCAGATAGGACAGCTTCTAGCCCAGCAAACGGTGATGAAAGATTTTTATCAAAACTTTCAAGTACGGCAACAAAGGAGAAGTGTCAAATATAAAATAAATCCTTTTAGTGTAAACACTTCACTATTGAGAATATTTAAAGAAACCTGCATGTCAGATTGCTGTGTGAAATACAAAGCCAAATATATGGCTACTCATCTTTAGCAGGTTGTTAGGCAAAGCAAGCATTTGTAGGATGGATACTGGTATATCCTTTGGTCTCTCCCCATCCCAGGTACTCATTCACAAATTTTTTTTAGGGATACCTGCAAGGTCACACAATTCTGTATCAGAAGCACTCATCAAAGCTTCTTCTAATTCTGGATCAACAGATACACTTTCCTCTGTCAAAGTCTGTACAGGTTTCTGTTTGGGGATAAATATTTTTCCTGTAAAATAAAAACATTTTATTAATTTCACTACTATAGTTATTTAACTCATTACCACTTTACCTTTCTTCCAACAAATATTATTAAAAGTATACACAACCAAAGTTGAAGGAAAAGTCAAGATTAACATCCAGTGATTTTGTTTAATTTTTGATGCAGATTTATTGAATTTCCAGGACAATACCTTAGAAAGAAAAGATAACAGAAATTTTCCCACCTGAGGAAATAAAAATTGGCTCTTTTTAGAGTAATTATGAGTTGCTTTATAAATACTGACTCAATAAATAAATAAGTAAAACCCACAACACTTTAAAAAAAATCCAATGTCTTGTTTTTTTTTTTTAATTTATTTTTTTTCAGTTGTAGTTGGACACAATACCTTTATTTTGTTTGTTTATTTTTATGTGGTGCTGAGGATCAAACCCAGGGCCTCGCACGTGCTAGGTGAGCGTTCTACTGCTGAGCCACAACCCCAGCCCCAATGTCTTCTTCTTAAGCAACAAATTGCCATAGTCACTTGAGGAATGGTAGAAGCAATCATGACTCTAGAAATTTAATATCTACTTACAAAGAAATTCCCATATGTTCTGAGTGGTATTCTGAAACTCTTGATCACTGTGCCTCTAAGCATCAATGGACACTAAGAAGGTTATCTGTGCTGGGCATCTCCCACATGTGACTATTAAGTTATAGTGAGAATAATGATTTTTTGCAACTCTACATCTTCAAGTCTTTCGGGTTAGGTATCTTCTTACTTAAAAAAAAAAAATGGCACTAGGTCAATCCAAAATGTGTTTGGGTTAGTAGGGCTGAATTAAGTGAATATTAACAGAATGCTCAATTAAAAGTAGTTTAAACTTGTGCCTCCCAAGCATGAATGTGCACTGCAGTAACCTGGTGACTGATTAAAGTGCAAATTCTGACACAGCAGGTCTGAAGTGGGGTGGGAGATTCTGCATTCCTAACCATAACCTCCCAGATGATGCTGACACTGCTTATCCACAGAATGCTCTTAAAGCAGCAAGGATTCAACCAGTAAGGATGTTTAGTATCTCAATAACAAGGTTCTAGGGTTTAGCAGCTCAATGTTGAAATGAAGAATCCAGGCTCTTTCCACGTTTCTTTTTGGCTGCTCCAGCATGAAATCCTTTGTTCTAAAGTTTTCAAAGTCTCAAGATGGCCTCTATAGTGCCAATTGTCTGTCTCCATGAAATAAGACAGGAAGGAAAGAAGGGTACTTTCTCAATTGTCAACTTTTACAAGGAAAACTTCCTCAGTCTTCTCTGGTCTTACCTACCAGCAATGGGTCACATGTTCATGCCTCAGCTTCAAAGGTAGCTTTGAAGGAATCATTGCTGAATAGGCAATGAGTGTTTATCCCAATATTGAAAGCAAGTGGAGTACGTCTATTTCCTTAATTCCCTGCACATTTACCCATGGCTACATTTACATATTCTGCACATGTGCCTGAATTCTTCAAACTTTTCAAGGACATGGTCTACATTCTGTTCATCCTGTGTCCTTGCCTAGAGCACAGTAAGCAATCCAACTTGTTTGGTAAATAATTTGGTGATCACCTCCAGATCAATGACCTTACTTTATAAAGTATAATTTAAATATGTTGGTTCAAAGTAACAGCAGAACTAACTCAAGAGGAGAAGTTCTCAAACTCTCCCTCAACCCCCCTTTTTTTTGGGGGGGGGGCAAGGATACTAGGGGTTGAACCCAGGGACACTTTATCACTGAGCTAAATCACCAGTCCTTTAAAAAATTTTTAATTTTGAGACAAGGTCTTGCAAAGTTGCTGAGGCTGGCCTTCAACTTGTGATCCTCTTGCCTCTGCTTCCTAAATTGCTGGGATTACAACCATGCACCACCACATCCAGCGAGAAGTTCCCAAATTCCCAAGTCAGTCCTTTTTTCAATAAACTAGTGGCTTACAGACTTAATTTTTTTTAGCAGTAGATTTCCCCCCACCATAAAAAAAGTCAAATTATATGGGAGTATACATAATTGACCTTACTATCAAATTCTGGAGTTCTGGTGATTAGATAATCTTTTATTATTGGTCACAGAAAAAGACAAATAGCAAATCATTATGTTCTGATAATTCCAGGGAAGTTTTTACTGTTGATATTAAAGGATTTCAGTGCATAGTATCCAAGGTTGAGAACCAATGGATTATGGAATTTGTTGACTGAATAAAACTACACAAGCTATTTACCATAAACATTTGAAAAGTAGGGCTGGGGTTGTGGCTCATGGCCTTGCACATATGAGGAGCTGGGTTTGATCTTCAGCACCACATTAAAAAAAAAAAAAAAAGGTAGTATGCCCATCTATGACTAAAAAAAAAATTGAAAAGTGAAGTAATACTATGTTAAATAGCTTCATTTAGTCTTCCTAGAGTATGTATACATACCAAAATATCATGTTGCACACCACAAATATACATAGTTTTTATTTGTCAGTTAAAAAAAAAGACAGACACTTGGCATACAGGTTCTAGGGGTATATAGTTCAGTGGTAGAGCATGTGCTCAGTATGTACAAGGCTCTTGATTCAATTCCCAGCACCAAAAGAAAAAACTAATTAAAAAAAAGTGGCATACTGGGGCTCGGGTTGTGGCTCAGTGGCAGAACGCTTGCCTAGCCTATGTGAGGCACTGGTTCGATCTTCAGCACCATATAATAAATAAATAAATAAAATAAAGTTGTTTTTTTTTATTAAGCTGAATATACAGTTCAGGGAGCATGACTTTAATTGCCACTTCAGATTAATTATATTTTCCTGAGCTCAGTCTCTCACTTGCATTTTCAATTGTCTATGGCAGTGGTTCTCATTGTTGGAAGCATGGTGGATTTTCCAGGGAGCTTTAAGAAATTCTGATATCTGGGTTGGTGCTAAGAGCCATAGCCAAGTAGTATGATACATGGCATTTTTGGTTGAAAGGTGACGCCAGCAAGCCAATGAGATGAGATGATTATGTTAAGATCTGCATTCATATGGATATTAGACCCCTGCTGTCCACCTCGGCCTGCTACGGGACTCCTGGAAGAGTTCCCATTGGTTGGGGAAGTGCGGGAGGAAGGAATTCCGGAGGAGGGATTTCCTGTTGCCGGTCCAGGAGAATGCCGCATGGGTCGGTCGGTTTTTTCCTGGGAGCGTATGGGGGATTGGCGGGGAGTTTCAAAAATAAAGTTTGTTCCTGCTTGAGTGGCTCGTGATTTTGTGCCCAGCCAGACTGCGGCAATTGGTGGCCCGTACGGGGAACGCCTGAAGCTTGGAGGTGAGTAAAATTGCTCGCCCCTGAGGGAAGGCGAGAGAATGGGTGACCATTTCAAAAAACAATGTGTTCTTGTTTTGATTTATTTTGTTTTTGTTTCAAGCTGCCTATCCCTAGACCTTTCTCAGGCAAACTGGGAAAAATGGTTGGCTCAAGGTTTGAAGTTGTTCGGCCCTGAGAAAGAGAAAATTGATACAACGATTTTTTGTTCCGTTTTTGTTTCATTCTGTTTCGGTTTTGTTTTATGTTATCTCATTGGGTTGCGTTACCTTTATAGTAGATTAGAAATTAGTAAAAAACAAACCGAAAGACTGTTAAGTAAATTGTTAGAGGTCCAGACTATGGTAGAAAACATGTTAGGTCAAGCAAAAGAGAAGGTCTCTCGAGCAAGTCAGATAGAGGAACAAAATTTAAAGGAAGAAAGCGTAGAAGAAAAACAACCATCATGGGGGGAGCTACAACAGGAGGCTGCTACTAACTCCGTTCTATCACCAAAGGGCATAATTCAACCAACAGCTCCATCTATAGAGACAGCTGAGTGGCCCTCAACCCCCGTAGTTGATAGACGGAATCCTGAGGCAGGACCTCAAAGATTAGCATGCCCTGTACGTGAGCAGGCAGGAGGGCAATGAATTCACTGTGCTTTAGATTTCAAAACAGTGAAGCAATTAAAGGAGGCTGTAACAACCTATGGTCCACAAGCACCCTTCACCATAAGCATGGTCGAATCTATTACCAACTTGGACATGACGCCAGCAGATTGGGCTAATATGTGTCGATCTGTGCTAAATGGAGGACAATATTTGTTATGGAAGGTTGCCAATGAGGAATTTTGCACGGAGACAGCTAGGCGAAATGCAGCAGCCGGTTACCCTCAAAGAAATCTAGATATGTTGTTAGGAAAAGGACCTTATGAGGGTCAACAGCAACAAACTGAATATGATCCTGGTGTATACGCACAAATTGCTGTAGATGCGGTTAGGGCATGGAAAACTTTACAGGGGCATGGAGATTTACAAGGACAATTATCTAAGGTAATACAAGGAACTAATGAACCTTATGCTGAATTTGTAGATAGGCTTATTCAAACAGCTTCCAGAATTTTTGGGGATACAGAACAAGCAATGCCATTAATAAAACAACTGGCTTATGACCAAACAAATCGTTGCTGCAGAGAGGTCATTAGACCATGGAGACACGAAGATTTAAACACATATATTAAATTATGTAGAGACATTAATGAACAAGGGCAAGTCTTGGCAGCTGCAGTACAACAGGCTTTAGATGCCAGGCCAAAAACATGCTATAATTGTGAACAAACAGGACATTTTAAAAGGAGTTGCCCCATAGGAGGAGGGTTTAACAAAGCTAGGTATCAAAGGAATAGAATACTGGGTATTTGCCCACGATGCCGTAGAGGGAGACATTGGGCTAATGAATGCCGTTCTCAAACCACCATAGAGGGTATTCCGTTATCAAAAAATGGACAAGGACCAAGTGTTTACCCACGATATCGTGGAGAAAGGCATCAGGCTCCATTGCCAAAAAACGGACTGGGGGACCCAATGCTCGGGGCCCACAACCACAAATATACGGGGCAATGGCAATACCATCAGGGTAGTGCCCAGGACACATTATCCATTAAATCCCTCATCAGACAAACTAGAGGGAGCGCAGGGTTGGACATCTGCGCCTCCGCCAGAGCAGTACTAAC